CACTAAAATGACTATTTAAATGAAGCTCAGCGTAAGTTCAGTCAGGAAGACCGTTCTCACCCTTTCACATTTTCTCCATCCCACTGTCACTACTCCCTCTAATCAGCTGACTATGGGTGTTCACTCCTCTAGTTATCCAATCACACTTGCCATGATCTCTCAGCCAATCAGGATGCCACTGCAAAATTTTAAATCTGCTCTCTCTTCTGCTGCTGTCAGCCATCACTTTCGGCAGACTCTTCACACCGTCCTCCACCCCGGTCACCTCCAGCCATCGTATCCAGAGTCCAGGACAAGCTCTCAAAGACTCATTCCTCTACTCATCCAGATCATCGGCACTTCTCTATCTTCCTCTCATCTCATCCTCACCACCTCTACCACCACCAGCGTCTAGACCCCGGGGGGGGGGGGGTTCCCTATTCGACTATGGATTCATCAAACCATCTCTACGGGGTCTAATTGCCAAAGACTTTCCACATTCTTATTCATTCGTTCACATGTTAATAAATATTCTTTTACCATAAAAACATGTCTCTCCTGATTGAAATGGAGTCTGGTGGGTTTCTGGGCTGTTTTTGGTTAAACAAAAAGGATCTTACTCTAAACAAAAAGGTCTATTTCTGTAGGGATCCTTTCCATAAGTTGTTAGAGACTTATAATAACAATCAGAGCCTGTCAGTGGTAAAAACAAACACTTTAAGCGGACGTACACTGACAGTGCGAACATGCCCTGTCTGGTTACATTGCAGCCTGTTTCACTGCTGCCAGCTGCATCATTCTCTCTCATTTTGTGAAATGGTTGTCTCCATTGGTCACTTAGATGTAAAAAAAAATCATAGTAGTTTACACAGGGTGTATTTGTCTACTATAATGAACTTTGATGAAGGTCAGCCCCCATGCAGGTTATTCCAAAGGGTTCACTTGTGTTTGCAGTCACGTACTCAGAGAGTGACTCTTGATGTCAAGCAGGCGCTGCTCTGCTGATGACAGGCCTCATCCTTTAACTGGATGATCTAATGCTCTCCGTGTCTGCAGGGGAAGCAGGGAGAGGTGGATGAACCAATGGCCACTGACAGATGCTGCCAAGGGTATCAGGGAAAGTGGGCCAGTCCAGATGTTGTCAGCTGCCCCGCGAATAATTAGACACATTAAGTGTAGGAGCTCAAGCAGCACAGGATGGTGGGAGAGTGGGAAATAAGTTTCTGTTCTTTTAAAAATACTGACAAAAAGTATTACAGTAATTCATGATATAAATATACATGCGTTACCATCAAATGAGATCAAAAACAAACACTTCAGGAGTCATTTTTCTTCTGAGTCAGCTCATGTTTTTCATTTTTAACTTGCAATGCCCAGACGAAAAAGGCAGGGGTTTTTTTTGTATGTCTAACAAAACTTTCCAAAGACACAGCTATTTTGAGTTAAAACTGAACAATTTGTGGGAGTCAGTTGAGCTAAACTTCCTGTGTGATATATATGCCTCTACAATCCCAGTGCCAAACTGAAATTATTCCCTTGTGATTGTATGCCTCCGCAAACCAGTCATGTTGCACTGACAGTTTACATCCATGTCTATGAAAACATGGATGCTTCACAGTTCACACACATCTTCCCCCAACAGCACAGACGATCTATAACAATCAGCACAGATGCAAGGTGGACACCCAAGATTAGTGTCACCAATTCAGTATCTGATCAAATGTCTCCCCTTCTGTTCCTGAGATGTGCATTCAGTAATGGCTGGAAAGTGTTTCGCAGAAAATTATGATGTCACAGTGAAGTTGACATTTGACCTTTTAGATATAAAATTTCATCACTCCATCAGCATATGCTATTAAACATTTGTGTGAAATTTCATCACAGTTAATGTATGAATGCTCTAGTTATGGCCAAAAACATGTTTTGCAAGGTCAAAGTGACCTGTGACCTTTGACCTTCGACTGCCAAAATCGAATCATTTCATTGTTGAGTACAAGGAAGCATTTGCGCCAAATTTGAAGAAATTCCCTCTAGACATTCTTGAGATATTGCGTTCACAAGAATGGGACGGACAACCTGAAAACATAACGCCTGCAGCTAAGGCTTCCACTGGCAGAGAGGCATAAAAAGGTACAAAATCACTTGAAAAGTTTGGGAGACCTGCTTGTGATTCTTCAGAAAGAAATTTACTTTCAAAAGTTCAACAGTGAGTGTCTTCAGTTTCCAAATGCTTACTGAGTGCTGTTAAAAGAACAGTTTTTCAATTTGAACATTAATTGACATTTTTTGTCTTTGAACTCTATTCTGTTGAACATATGTCAAAAAAGATTTGAAAATAATTGCATTCTGTTCTATTTACGTTTTACAGTGTCCCCATATTTTGGGGATTAGGGGTTGTATAGTCTTCTCTTAACTAAATGATTTTAACAAGCCCCAACACTTGTCTATTTATGTTACATTTATATTCTTCATATATATTCTTATGAGGACAGAGGAAAGAGACTGCATCACTTTTAGTTTCCAGCTCTGGTTCAGATACAGAGAGAGCAATGGATGGCAGAGGGTGAGGAAGGTTAAGACTGCAGGGTAAGGAGGGGCTGATGGGAGAGGAAAGGGAAGCAGGAGGAAGCAGAGAGGAGGTGGAGTGGAGGGATGAAAGACCTGCTGGCCTGTAGGCTAGTGTGCAAAGATGATGGAGGATCAAAGGTAGAGAGACAAGAAGCAATCAACATGATGGATGAAACAGAATGAGTGGACTGAAAGACAAGAGTTTGTAAAATGAGCTGTGAAAGGAAACAGCTGGAGGAGGTCACGGCAGTCGATACTGAGCTGGTTCAGTCCAGGACAGGCGAACTGCAGCGTTTAGGTTCAGTGAGTATGTGAACCTTGAACATCTGTACCGTACTGAAAGTTCCACGAGCAAATATCAATATTTTTGAAATGACTTTGAAATTAATCAAAAAATGGAAAAAAATGGCAAGCCAAAGATACCTTACATCTGTACATTATTATGTAACTGATGCATTTTGTTGTGTTTCTTTATGTTTTAATAATACAGTGGATGTGTTTAGGCACAAACACGTCTTGGCTATGGTCAACAAAAGATCATGGTCTGGCTTAAAATACCCACTTCTGGTGGCACTATCTCAGCAGAAAAAGCAACAGTGTTTCATCTCGGCAGGAAACACAGCAACAGGTTGCTATAAAACTTGCACATTTAAAGGCTGAAAAGCCGCTGGAGACACAGTGATGACTCACTATGAAACACTTGGTTGTGTTGTTGGTCTTTAACAGTGGTCTGCAGCTTGGCCAAGGTAATACGCCATCCACCATCCCCTCCACCTCCACATGACAGTCAGCTCACATACTACATCACTTTAGAAATGTTGATATGACACTTATGAAATGTAGAAATATAACTATTTGTGGTTTTCAGAAATGTACAATGCCGACATTTTATACTGGCAAAAGGACTGCTTTCTACAACAAAAACTATGACAGAGAATATTCATTATTCGTAACCGCCTATCCTGGTACAGGGTTGCGGGGGGGCTGGAACCTATCCCTGGTGACATTGGACAAGAGACACAGACCCTGGACAGGTCGCCAGACTACCACAGGGCTGACACAAAGAGACAGACAATCATTCACGCTCACATTTACACCTACGGACAATTTAGAGTCACCAATTTACCTGCATGCATTTGGACTGTGGGAAGAAGCTGGAGAACTGAGAGAAAACCCACATTGACACAGGGAGAACATGCAAACTCCACACAAAAAGGCCCCATACAGCTGGTGGATTAGAACCTGGAACTTCCCTGCTGTGAGGCTTCAGTGCTAACGACCGCACCACCGTGCCACCCTCAACAAAAAAACAACCAACAAAATCAATAAAAACTGTTTAAAAGCTTAATAGAAAGGTACATCTAAAAACAACAACTATGGTGAAATGTGTAATTTTTTCTAATCGACAAATAAAAACTAAATGATAATGCTGAATGAATGGACAACAAAGACAATGACAGCTGTAGCCTCAAAACGTGTGAAAAATCAAAAATGCATGACAAAAATTAAAATGTCTTTAATCTTTGATGACTAAAACTTAAAAAATGATTATAATAAAATTTAATCAAAACTAATGAACATTTTCATCAAAGACTAAAACTAAATCTAAATTAGGTGCCAGGATTAACGCTGGACTGAAAACATCAGACTGTTCACTAAGCGAGTTTCTTTTAACCATGACTGCGATCGCTTCACAGCTTTAACCACCTGTTCATTATTGTAACTATGATGACAAAGGTCTCCTTATCCTTACAAAACATTTATTTTGACCCAATCCACGATCCTTCCCTAAACCTAACCAAGTCATCTTTGGACACTGACGGTACAAACGTGATTATATAGAATATAATGTAATACATTACTGCGGATGAAACTACCCAGCAGTATATAAAGGAATTAAAATAAGCACAACCTTAAACATCTACAGCAGTAAAATGCAACACACACATTACTGCAGCAGGAATATTAATCCAGAAACATCAGATACAAGAAGAAAACATTGACAGCAAACAGTTTACTGCACAATGATTACTTTTACTGTACCACTCTACACTTTTATTTAAGTAAGGCTGTGAATGCAGGGCTTTTACTTGTAGTGGAGTGTATTTTAGTGTGGTATTAGGACTTTTACTAAATGATCTTAACACTTTTTCCACCACTACCTCACACACAAAGCAAGATGGACACTTTTTACAGTGTTACAACATTTTTGTAATGTTGTGTCAAAACAAACCTCGACGCTTTAAACCACTCCTAATTAATTCCAGGAGAAGAAGTCTCCGACAATAACAGCAGCGCAACTTTCCCACAAATCCTATTTTAAAATTCTTCCCTGACAATCCCAAACACTTGAAACTGCCTAATGTTCCCAGACACAGATACACATGTTGGATATTCCCTGACAGCCCATGTATGACCATTTGCATCAGACATGACATTGATGTTGGACTCACCGTGTTTTCCAAACAGGTGCAGGAGGGGGGAGGGGCAGGGGAGGGTCATCACCTCGCCGACCGCTGCACTCTGCCAGCACGACACATTGTCCCACTCGCCACGACATCCTGCACACACACACACACACACACACACACACACACACACACATTGGAGGTATAAATCAGACTGCTCATGACTTCCTGTTTGGCTCCTTGTTTGAAACTCACTGATCTTGTGCCTGCTGCTGAACCAACAGTCAGGACACATAAATCAACATAAAAGCACTCTCCTCCTCTGAAGTTTAGACATTTGGCTCTGATGTACTGACAGGAGGGAACAGAAAATTCTTCATTGAACATCTTACTTACTTATGTTACATTGTTTTTTTAAGGGGTAAAACGAAAATGTTATAAAAATGTTATACTTTAAGGATTGCATTGCAACTCTAAATGTTATTGACACTTGGTCTGCTATTACAGGAATACTGTAGGCTTTAATATCTTGATTTAAGGTGCATTTTAAAACAAATCCTGTAATTTTAAGGCAAAATTTTAAAGCATTAAATCAGATATAAGACTTTGTGATAAGGTAATGGAATGATTAAAGCTTTTTTGTGGATGTTTGTCCTTTTGTAAGCTGGTTTTGCACCTCTAACCACTTTAAAATTAGTTTTAATGCATGACAGTATTTTTTTTTTTAGCAAAAACTGAACAATAATTTTGCTTCACTGTTTTGGTTAAAACTTGTCCACTCACTGAATTCTTGAAGTTCTGCAGTTTTCAACTATATATTTTCTTGCAATTTTTTTTGGTCGACCAAAGATAAATATTTAATATAATCAATTTACTGTGTTCTTTGTGTAACTTTTTTAAAAAAAAAAAAAAAAAAAAAAAAGTTAAGACAGTTTGTTTCTCCTAAAAAAATTATTTGTACTTGGTGCAGGCTTGTTTGGCCTGCAGTTTTGGAAGAAGTATTTTTACTTAAGTAAAAGCAGTAATACCACAGTGTAGAAGTACTCTAGGTTAAAGTCCTGCATTCAAAACTTAACTGAAGAAAAAGTACAAAAGTATTTGCATCAGATTTTACTCAAAGGCCCAGTGTGTAGGATTCAGGGGGATATGGTGGCAGAAATAGAATATAATTTAATAAGTATGTATTCTTTTCTTTAGTGTATAATTACCTAAAAAATAAGAACTTTTGTGTTTTTGTTACTTCAGAATAAGCCGTTTGTATCTGCAAATGGAGCGGGTCCTCATCTACGGAGATCACTAGGTTGCACCACTATATTTCTACAGTAGCCCAGAACAGACAAACCAAACACTGGCTTTAGATAGGGACATTCACATATTCCCAGCCTGTTCTTATTTTGAAGTCGCCAAATACTGCCACTAGGTTGTTATTTTCTATGTCAGACAACACTGATAAGAGGTCATTCTTTCGCAGCAGTACAATACACTGCTAGGTGGGGTCAGTTCACAACCCCACAGGACAGCATCAGTTTGAGATGCCATTGAACAACAACGTAATTAAAAGTACTGAAAAGTCCCTGGAGGGGTGGTGAATGGGTCCATCAAATACCAGAATGGTACCACAATGGGGTTTTTTCTAAACCCAACCATGTGCCTCTGTTGCACAATGAGATAAGCATAAATATGCAGTGTTTTACCGACGTTGTCAGTTTATTTTGAAAAGATAGTATGCATCTAATGAGCAGAAACTGTGAACACTGAAGTGTATTTTGAAGGCAATGCATGTAAGAAGTGTAAAGTGACATAACGTCCCAGAACGTCAACAACAGACACATCCAGGATACACAGTTACATGTAGAAGTAAAAGTCAACTGACCAAGTGGAGATTTATGATGAGCTGGGAGTGAGAATGTATTGGTTTACATGTCGGCCACTGCAGTTAGAAGCCCATCTGAAATGAGCATCATTGTTAAACACTTTTGTTTTGGAGAAGAGGAGACCTCTGTGGATAATTTAGCTCCTGGTGAAAACTTCTGAGCGTCTGGATCAGAAAAAGGGTGAGCGCACTTCAGCAGATGCCGGATGAGCAGCTTGTCTCCAACATGGCAAACAGCATCAGAGAAACACTGATTTGTAACGTGAAACATCTTTTTTCAGTGTTTTGACTGGTTTTAATCACCTGGTCTGTTTGTTTTGAAGAGGAAGAGACCTCTGAATTCTAACCAGGAGAAGTTTCAACTGGTTGCAATCTACAATCCTCACAGCTAGATCAATCCCCCTAAATCTTACAAACTTCTCCTTTAAATTACATCACAACTCTGACCCGATGATGTGTCATATTCTGTTTGTCCTTTAAGATACAATAACTGTGAGTTTAACACACATATTCTGTACACACACACACACACACACACACTGTATGACTGCAGACAGGCGTGAGAAAGAACCCCACGCTGCAAACCACACAGATAAAAAGCTCTTATATTATCACTGTACTCAAACATTCAAACACACGTGAACTTTTAGAGAAAAAAGAGCAACTCAGCGTTGTATGTACACGACCCTGGAGTACTTGGCTTGAGAAGTAAATAAATGATTGATAGGGAGTGTGTTGCAACACAGGCTGAAATGCTGTCCAGACACACCCTCCTGTCCACATAGCTGACCTTAGTCAATGCATATACACTTACACACACACAGACATTTGTGTGTGTGTGTGTGTGTGTGTGAGATTTGACTTTTTGTTCCTGCAAATGCCAAAACTGTTAGTAATCATAAAACTTTCCATCCTGAGTTTATTTCACTTAAGAGCTGATTTCCAAATAATTCCCTGTGTGTGTGTGTGTGTGTGTGTGTGTGTGTGTGTGTGTGTGTGTGTGTGTGTGTGCACGCACACACGCATGTGTTTATACCTGTGCTCACAGGCGTCTGTTGCTGCAGTTGTGTCTGGCACTCTCTCCAGGCTCTCTGAATCTCCCAGTGGAATTGGCAGTGAGGAAACTTTCCATTAACCTGTCGGGATGAGAGGAAATAAATATTATGAATATTATCTCCTATGTGAACAAACCTGCTGCGTCAGACAAAAGTTCAGGCACTGGCTCTCCGTGTCTCGGCCCTGAACGCTGGTGTTTGATGAACGTGCTTCAGTTTGCTGGACAAAAGTTCATGTTTCTGCAACTTCCTCCAGGAAGCTTTAGGGAGGAAATTTAAGATAAGTGGTACCTTCAGAATACAATCAGAAATGCACTCCATGTGCTTGTTTTATTCCCTCATTGTAGTATTTTGTACCACTGCTTTACTTAAGTTTGTCCCATAAATTAATGTGTACCATGTAGTCATCAAGCCTGTGCTTCAAGTTTTTACAGTTAAAAAAAAAAAAAAAAATTCTTAATAGATGTCGTAGCTGCTCGTAAAGCATTTACAAAGAAATGGTGAGAGACTCCCCATCTGTTGAAAACTGGTGTGATATCATTTGTTTCATTTAAAAATTGGGAAGAAGTAGAAAATGCAAATTTCCCTGACATGCCCTTATTTTGTTTTAATTTGTTTATTCAGCCCTTTAATATTTTCATTTTTATTTGTTAATCTTAAATGGAAAACAACCCATGTTCTATGTTTGTGTTTTACTACAAAAAAAAAGCCTTACTCTGTAAAAGTTCCTAATTCTCACTTAAGTTAAACCAAATTACGGAAAAATGTAAACAACATTTAAATAAATTAATTGATTTAATTAAGATAGAAAAAAATTAAAACTCTGAAGTTCTGCTCTTTTGCAACATTAAATTTTCTTCCATTTTTTGGTTGTCAGGCAAATTATAAAAACATATGTTTATACATAAAAAAGCATATTTCCCCTAAACGCCCTTCTTTTGTTTAGATTTATTCATTCAGTACTTCAATATTTCTATTTTTAGTTATTTATCCTAAATAAAAAAACACCCCATGCTCTATGTGTGTTTAACTGCTACATTGTAAAAAACAGAAAACAGTTCTGTAAAACTACGCAAGTAAGAAAAACACTGTGTGACTGTTATTATTAAGTCAAACCAAATACAAAGAGTAACATGTCAAAAAAAAGACACAGTACTTTAACATCTCAGCCAAAACATGACATATATCTACATATCTAAGACAAATGAATTGATTAATTAAATTAAATTGATTAATACTACAAACTTTTGTGCCGCTAATTAACAACAACTTTTACCACCATTAAAACAGGTGCCTGTGCATGCATGTGTGTGTGTGTGTGTATGTGTGTGTGTGTGTGTGTGTGTCCTGGTACAGCTGACAGTAACCATGGAGACACATTCAACTTGAGTGTAAACAAGAGGGCAGCGTGAACACTATACACACACTCAAACAAAATGAGTCCATGTGTCAACTCGACTTCATTGATATACTGCCTGTGTGTGTGTGAGGTCTGTTTACACTGAGATATGCTGCCGCTCTCAGCTGTATTTCAGACCTGTCAGTGTGTTTATACCACACACACACACACACACACACACACACACACACACACTCTCTGACTCATCCATCCATCCATCCAGCCATCATTTACAGCCAATCAACCCATCATCTTATCTTGTCGACCAATCAAAAGTCACCTCATTTACAGTGACTTCTTGTTTCCACCAATAAAGAAAAACAATACAAACAGAACCCAAACACCCCAGGTAAACAAACAAACAAACAAACAAACAAACAGGTAATTCCAACAATATGTTAGAACGTCTCTAAATACCAGTCCCCTTGGAAACTAGACGGCTCATTTCCTGTATCTGTTTCATGTGGGTTTCGCCACTGCCCCGCCCCTTTAGGAGATTTTATTTTAGTAAAAACATAGTGTGGTGGTATGTGTACAATGCTTCAGTAGTAACATGTCACATGAAGAATGTCAGCTGACGTGACATAACGTTAGTAAGTACCATGCTTACTTTTTCCCCCTAAACCTAACCAGGGACTTTTGTTGCCTTAACTTAAGTACAAAAACATAAAAACGAGATGTTCGACCTATCTAGAAAATTTATAATGAAAAACTCTGTATGCACATAACGAGCAGAAACAGTACATTTCCTGTGAAAACAGAAAGTTTTTTTTTTTAAAAAACACAATGCATAAAACAAGCGTAAATTGAGACGCCAGCCATAAATTTTTTTTGACTTTTGTTCAAATGACAATGCAGCAGTATTTGGCGAGACAGGATGAGAGGGGGTTGGTCTATTGCCTCTGATGGGAAAAGTCAACGTGAGCACAAATTATGACCAATTCTTTCAGCAAATTGTCACTGACATTAATACTGGACCCAGTTTTGGGCATTTGGCATTTTTCAGACAGACAAATCAAGAGAAAATTAACTTTGTTTGAGACATGTCTTTGTCCCAGCAACTCTGTCATAACAACTGATATGATCTTGTACTATGTGATTATCAGATATTACCAGATTATTATCAGATATTAAGACAGCAGATCAAGATGAGCGGCAAAATAAGGTGCAAACATTACATTTGTACTGCATATAAAGTTGTACTGTTTTGAATTTGCTGACATCCATCCACATACCATTTTATAGCTTTGTACAGTAAATACTTTCTGACTTCCTGGCTCTCAGCCCGTTGGTTCCTACTGAAGATGTAAATCTTTTAAGAACACACATATATATAGTGTCAGTAATTTCCTAAAACAGCCACTCACTGTAGATTTTTTTGTTGTTTTTAAATCCAATAAACAGGAGGAAATAGTGCATTTGGTGAGGACTATTTTCAGCAGCGGATTAATCCACATTTGGTGCCCTAGTGAGTATTTGTGTCAGCAGGACGGTGTGTGTGGGACTGAGTCAAAATAAACCATAGTGTGTGTGTGTGTGTGTGTGTGTGTGTGTGTGTGTGCGTGTGTGATCGTGGTAATGAGGGAACATCACCCAGTGCAACACTATGGCTCACTGATGTGTTGTAACAACAATGGAGCTCTTTGGCACAGAGGAAGAACATATATCAGCATACAGAGACAATACATGTCAGCAGAGAGACTCCCTGTTGGTTTTAGTTTGTTCAGTGGCATTGTTGTCATAAACAATACAACAGCACTGTTTTCCAAAGTGCACTGTTCTTATTAAAACTTTTGGATGCTGTTTAAGTCCCAGAACATTTGTCATTTTTATGGTTTAAAAATCGACCTGCAGAGACCTGAAATGACCTCAGTCAACATTCAACATAAACCAATTTTACTTTTTGTTACTTTATTGTTTCGTATGTTCATGGGTGGGTTTTGAGACAGTGTGGGCCCCCCTGTGCTCGGATATTCAAAATGCACTCCCACCTTGCCTGTGCAGGAGCAAGAAACAGACTTTGTGGTGGTTTTGCCTCGTATTTTAAACTTTTTTCGTGCCTCTTTAAAGGGACAGTGTGTAGCATTTTCAGTTGTTTATTGGCAAAAATTGATGTCTGCATTCATAAATATGTCATCAGTGGTGTATTATTACCTCCACCAATAATCTGACTTATTCTCGTAAAAGGAGAATTTCGGATTTGTTTGTACATTGTGCGGGTAAGTCGTTTGCGGGGTTCCATAACGTTTCACCATCTTGAAAATACATCCGTCAGCAAGGGACATACAGCCCCACCTTTGGCGTTTTTGTTGAGAGCCAGGCCAGCGCTGCGTGACTGAGGAGCTGAAGGAGAGGAGCAAGAGGTGCTTCGCTACTACCCCGGCACTACTACAGCATAACAAAGGCCCACTCGTTGAGCATAATGCAGGATCATGCATATGCAGCATCACGGGAGACGGAATCCTCAGAAAGCGCAAAAGGGAATCAAAAAGGCAACGTGACCAGCAAATTCAAAAAACAAGGGTCAACATCGGGGTAGCCTTTCCCAGGTGGAGAGAGCTGCTGAAGGAGAAAGGTAATGCAATCACAGGCCAGCGCCAGCTGTCAGCGGCGCCGTGATGCGAGGAGAGGGATGAGGTGTGTGAGGTTGGGCCACTTGTCAGTTGTCAAAAGACAAGACGTCATTGGTTTGTTTTGATTTACACCCGCCCCAACAGTCCTACATTGTAAACACAGCCAGCATGGTGAGGAGGGGGTTTGTCAACTCCTGTCGTGTGTGTCTGTGTAGCAGCCTGAATGAATACTCCATGAAGTATCGGACGACATGGTTTCATGCAGGGGCAATTCTAGGACCAGAGGTTTAGGGGTTCTGAGCACCCAGAGAGCTGCCCGGCCAGGCAAGATAAATTTCACTGTTTTGTACATTTTAACTCAATTTCATTCCCACATTTGTGAAAGAAAAGCACAACACTTTTTGGGAAAGTCTGTGACTAAACCATCAAATCTGATAAAGGTTATTTAAATGCTGAGTCACAGCAAAAGAGGAATGGATTGAAATCATATAAGAAACATATTGTAACCCTAATAAGACAACTCATTTTGATACAGCAGCTCCTCAACATACACATAAACAGTATGTATGTTTCTGGAGTAAACCAGCCCCCTATAGTGAGTACCAAAAATACCAAAAATGGACCTTGGGCTAATTTTCTGGACTTTTATTTGAATTGCAATGCACAACATGTAACATTAACACATTAACAGTAATTGACTTTTTCAGTGTTTGTCTCTGCCTTTTTCCTTCTTGTCTGTATTATATAATACAAATACATAAATAAAAATACACTTCAAAAAAGAAAAGTGCTTGAAATCTACAAAATAATAATAATGAATACACACAATAGGAGTTATAATGTTAATGGGCATCCAGTCAGTTAGCTAGTCAGTAGCACCTTGGCTTTAATATTGACACATGCACATGACACAACAGCTAGCTTCTCTCATTCCAATTTAAATAGAGGACAGTGGTACTGACCACCTGTAACGTTTCCTAGCTAACTCCTACCTAACAACATAAACAGTGACCTATGATTAAATGCAGCAAAAAAGAGGACTGGTAATGATAATAATGTGTTGGTATTGAGTGGCAGAAGTTAAGAAATGTGCCACATATCCTGGTTTCAGCCAGGTACTTACACCACTACTGCATATCGCCCACTCTAGAAGGCAGCGCATTGCTCTGTGCAGATAGAGCGCTCAGAGCCCCAGTCAGGGAAAGGTGGGAGGGATGGGGTGGATCAAATCATTTTTGAGGCAAGGGGGGGGGGCTGCTGTATATTAGGTTGCAACCAAGTACTGTATGGTTTTAACACTTTTCTAGCTTGTTAAAAAGGGACATACAGCAAAAAAATCTCTCAAATTTTAGGGGTGCTGGGATTCAATTTAGGGGGGCTTCAGCAACCCCAAAAATGGGCTAGAAACGCCTATGGTTTCATCAATGTTATCATAGTTTTTTGGTACACAGCGGCTACTGTTGTTGCAATACGTGGTTGAACCAGTGAGGCGCTAGAGTGCGCTATCCGTTTAAATGCAATATATAATTCCAGCGTTAGATGGGAGAAATTCCTACACACTGTGGCTTTAAGGTAATTTCATGTCTTTTGTGATTGCTTTGTGTTTCATTGTGGTTGTTTTGCCCCGTTTTCCATTTAGTTTGTTTTTTTGTAGTCGTTTTGTGCCTCTTTGAGGTAATTTTGTGTCAATTTTGGTCACTTTATGGTTGCTTTCCCCCTCTCTCTAGTTATTTTGTGTCTCTTTGTTGTATAAAACAGCAGCACAAACAGAAAATTAACCTCTGACAACAAACAAATATAAATACTGATGTAATGTCAGGTTTCCATTTGCTGCTTCTCAAAACAAAAAACTATAAATAGAGAGCAGCAAAGGGCAGGGGCTGAACCATCTGACCTTATTTAATCCAACAAACACCATAATCTCTGTCTTCTAATCAGCTCTAATACTCACAAATACACACAGAAACACAGAGATCCATTACAGATAAAATGTTATGGATCCAACTAAATAAAAGAATGTTTTTTTTTTCAGTTTGTAATCCTGAACCTCATCTGACCTCGACTACATTCAGAAACCACTGATTAGACCTGATTTGTTCGCTGCAACAATAAAAGCACAGCAGTTTTTTTCAGTGTCCACACGCCAATGTCCAAAATAAAAAGTGGAATCAATCTCTGGCGGGATTAATCGACACCAGTCTAATGAGACACTGGCTGGTCACAAAATGCTTTAGAGGAGGTAAACAGGTAAAATGTTAAAATGTTGCCATGGAGTCAGATGGTTTGCTGTGGGCCACAACTTCAGCGATGTTTCCTTTTAGGACTGTATTTGTTTACATTTTTGAAAATTAGCACCATTGAAAGTATGCCAAATGATCTATTAGCAGTTCCTGTTTGCAGTGTACCCATGGATGTAGAGACAACTATGACTGGATTACTGTGACACTGAAATAAACTTAAAAAGTGATTATTCTCACCAAGTTCTGAAGTTTGAAAGATCATTTTTCCCCCATGATTTCTAAGCAGATTTATTTTTTATAGGGGAGTGTCCGGTTTGGGGACCTCAGAATTGCGTCTCTGCTATCTGCAGATGATGTGGTTCTGTTGGTTTCATCACAACATGACCTCCAGCATGCACTGAGGCGGTTTGCAGCCGAGTGCAAAGTGATCAAGAATGATAAGAGTCAGTACCTCCAAGTCTGAGGCTATGGTTCTCTGTCTGAAAACAGTGGATTGTCCCCTCTAGGATGGTAGAGAGTTACATTCCCAAGGAGCAAAGGAGATGAAGTATTTCAGGTCTTGTTCATGAGTGAGGGTAAAATGGAGCGTGAGATGGACATGTGGTTTGGCGTGGCATCTGAAGTGATGTGGGCTCTGCACCAGACCGGAAGGAAAAGCTTTCAATTTACTAGTCCACTGTCGTCCCAACCCTCACCTATGGTCATGAGCTTCGGTTGTGACCGAAACAATGAGATTGTGGAAACAAGTGGCTGAAATTAGTTTCCTCTGTGGGGTGGGTTGGTTCCAGCTGAGAGATAGGGTAAGGAGCTCAGACATCTGGAGGGAACTCGAAGTGGAGACGCTGCTCCTTCACATCGAAAGGGGCCAGTTCACATGGTTGGGGCATCAGATCTGGATGCCCCCTAGGCGCCTCCCATTAGAGGTTTTCCGGTTACATCCATCTGGTATGAGGCCCTGGGGCAGACCCAGAACATACTGGAGGGATTTTACATCTCATCAGTCCTGAGAATGCCTTGAGGTCCCCCAGGAGGGGCTGGAAAGTGTTGCTGGGGAGAGGAACATCTGGATCACTTTGCTCAGCCTGCTGCCCCCACGACTTGGCCCCCGATAAGCGCAAGATGATGGATGGATGGAGGGATGGATGTTCCTAACATTTTCCGCTCCTAAATAACCTTTTTCTTTTCGAACAAATACAGCCCAGTTTTCTCCTAATTACCATTATACCATTATTACCTGCATCACATAACCAGTGCTCACTGCAACATAAAGAGGACATTTAAGCACCTCACATAAAAAACAACTGATGTTAAAAAAAATGCAAATCAGCACAAACAAAGCTCCAAACCACACATCGACTTGTCTGCTAATGTGGCAGTGGGCTGAGCGACTCTCTAACATAAGGTTTTCTCGTCCCTCTCCTCTTTCAATGTCAAACGTAACAGATCAGTCGGGTTGCTCAACACTAGAGGAGTTTACTGACATCACTCTGCAGGATTTTCACGCTGAAGTTCAACAGTTGCAGAGTCTCTGACAGTCAAACAGAAAATCACTGTATCACAGCTCAGCTTTAATCCTTACAGGCTGATTAACCCACTTTTTTCTTTTGCGTGTGTTATGCGTTTGCAAGTATCAAAATTAGCTTGTTTACTACTACTGAATGTCCTGTTCTGTCCCTGCAGCCTCACACAGTAGCAGGACTCTGCTCTCCAGAGTAAGATCAATACAGGAAGCAGAAGTCATCAAACTTTATCATAAGTACACACACACGCGCACACACACACACACACACACACACACACATTTCCTTTGCGATTGCAAAAGTCTGACATTGTGAAATTTCTTGTCCAGCAGACAAAAAATAGCAGAAGTATTCACATGGGGGAAAGGCATTAAAATTAGATATTTTTATGTTTCATGTAAAATTTAAAGCCTCATGGATTTTTAGTTTTTGTTAATACAGCTGCAGGATGATACAGAAGGTAACTTATGTCACCTGTACAAAACAGTAATGTGTGTGCTGCAGAAAAGTTCAGAAGGTCACTGAAAATATTACAAATTCTCCTCTAAAAATAATTATCATTCATAATTCAGGTTTTATCAAAAATTTTGTTCAGCCTTATTAAACTTTTTTTTTCTAATGGAGATTCTGTTCTAATGGAGAGATGTATCTGTTTGGTATGCCAAACACACCAGACTGAAATTTGGGGGTAATATATGCAAAAATCTAATAGAACTAGACGCTTTTTCCCACCCTTAAAGCTTTTTAAGATGAAAGGAAAAGGGTCAATCTTATCAACTAAAATCAAAACACAAGACTGAAAGCTGCAAATAATGACGTTTTAAAAGTTTTGTGATGCTTTTAATGTCCATTTACATTGGAAACTTAGGCCTAGAAGTTAAAATATCAGTTGTGTTTCTTCTTACGGACAGCTGTATCTGTTTGCTCAAGTTAGGTCAGGAGTAACATTTTAAATGAGTCACTTTTTCTCCACTGACGTCACCTCTACAACATCTACAAGAGTCTAACTTGAGTTAATCATCCACTTGAGCTCTCTGTTGTTACACCAAAACCCACTAAAAAAGTTCCAGTGCTGAATTTTTAGCTTCTCTGAAAGACCATAACTTGTATTATAAATGAAGTAAAGGTCCAGGCAGCTGCAGAGTCTAAAGATAGAGCCCAGCCTACTGTGAAAATCAGACCTGAATATTAAAAATTAAACTAGCAGCCAGGAAGTGAATCTATAATTAATGTTTTCACACAAGGAAAGACAAAACAGTCAAACTGCAGACTGTAAAATTTATCATTGGTGTTTAAAAGCGCCTGCAGGCTGATTTAACTGATTTACAGTACAGTCCAATCGGTGTTAATGAGTTTATGACACTGAAAGAAACAGAGTGGACGTTTACAAAACATGATAATTATTCAACTGTGGTGACAAAAAGCTGCAGAAATCCTAATTGAAAATATCTTTAAATGCACAAAACCAACAGTCACGGTAGGAATACAGAGGAAACAAAAATAAATCAGGTAGGACAAGCTCGGTATAAGCTCAGTGTTAACTTTTATTGGGGTAATATCAGGGCCAAATATTGCTATTAAGTCACCTAAAAACTAAATATTTTGTGCCACATGAAACTCGCATGCTGTGAAATTTAACAGAAATGAGTTTAAATGCCATAAAGTGACTGTTTTAAAATACTTATGGAGTTATAACGCAAATAATCCCATTAATCTTAATAAATTCAGTAACAAGTCATTTACTGACCGTGTGGATGAAGGTGAAGCCGAGCAGGAGCAGAGCGAGCCGGTGCGTAAAATCCATGGTCACATCTCATCCACCTGAACAGCAGCTCACCTGACGGACATCCTCAGCAGGAAACACGTGCGCTGCAGTGAAATGACACCAAACGGCAGTCTGACAAGTTTAATGCGCAAAGTGTTGCCTGTAAATCAGTGTTTTGGCACGTTGGTTTGGCAGATTTACGCACGAATCACACCACAAAAAAGATCATATGTTTTCAAAAAAACGCGAAAAAATAACCATCTCGAGGTAAAAACACTGAATTCACACGTGAAACAGTCCAAACTGACACGAGCTGGTTCCCGTTAGTATTAATACAGGCCGGGACAGCCCGGTGTGTTGTGGTGAGTCCGGTGTGCTAAGTTACAGTGAGGCGGTGGTCTGGTTCACTCTCTGTTCACTTACAAACCAACGCGCGTCCCCGTCACACGTTGTCCCTCAGGACACCCCGGACTGATGCGCGCTCCCGCCGACCTGAAGAACCTGAGGGAGCTTCCTGAGTTTGTTTTTATAAAAAACATCAACAGCGACACCGTGTGGCTGAAATCAGATCAAACTATATGTATGTATATCTCGTTGGGTCACCTTTGAAGTTTAGTTTCCAAACTCTGGCCCAAAACACGGTTATTAAAGCACACTAAAACTTAAATTAAAAACTAAAACACCTTGCTTAACCTTGCTGAAATTTTATTTTAAAAATGTTAAAATGAGGCATTATCTAATTAAATATGCACAGATATGCATAAACCTCCAGAACAAAAATCTGAACATTGGCTAAAGCCAGGTTCAAAATTCTTGTTTCACTTTGTTGTCCTATTACAGTCACAGGTTTTATCAGAGGGGATTTTTTTTATCACTCCATAAATCAGAAAATACTGTCAACAGTCAGGAAAAAAACAAATCCATATTTTTATGAAAAAAATGTTCTATAAATCAGGCTATCAAACAAACTCCTCTGTTACATTTCCAGAACAGAAATATGATCTAAAATACTGTAAATCCTCAGTTAAAAGCCTAGTAACAGTTAAATGCCTAATCCCTTTTACTAGCCTGGTGTGGAGACACAAGTAAAGGCCATTCTCAATTAGACACATAGTCTAGTTGCCACAGTTGCCAACAGTTCATTTTTATAGAAATTCTTTGGATGTACAAAACCAGATTGTTGACTACCCACTGGAGCTAAACTAGTTAGCTGCTTAGACCACACATACAAATACAAATGTTTAAACTTTTGTCAATATGGAGATGCTACACATCATTAGCTCGGTTAATTTCCTTTTACTGAAACCACGTGCACCAGGGAAGACAGTAATTCATTCAGATTTACCAGCATTACCAAAACACAAATAATGACTCCATTCCTCTGAGGCTGTTATAAAGTCTGAATGTGTCCATTACTCAATTAAGTTATTTGTATTCCTTTAGTCTGTAAAGGTCCAACGTTCAAAAGATTTAAAGGTGTTTTTCATCAATTTTAATTCAAGTTATGAGTATTGATTTAAGTTGGGTTGTGTCGATATGCCTTATGCCATCATCCTCCGATGCTGTGAAACAAGTGTCACAACATAACACATAATTGATATGTGATCTTAATTTTTATACAAGTAATATTCATACTGGTGTAAATAAACAATTTGATCGTACTTCCCATATTTGCTGAGCAAGGAATTAAGGGCCTGTCCCATATAGACGCCTGTTCCAAATATAAGCCTGTTGAGTTATGATTTAAGCAAATAACAGCCCGGGCTACTAATTGAAATTTTACGGTAAACATCTCAATATACTTTTAGGACGTTTTCTTTCCACTGGTCTGAAAGAAGATATGTTCTGGATGCAAAATAGCCGAAAATCTCAATATTGACCATGAAATAAAATGTTTTCACCTGTGGTGTCACCCCTTAACTGTAATGGCCTTAAAATAAAAACTAGACTTCAGGGGAAAAAAGAAAGAAAGAAAGAAAAGAAAATTAACTAAAACAATATTATACACTTACATTTACTTACAAACTTACTTCTACTCACTGACACATTAGTTGACTTCCTAGTCCATTTGGTCTGATGGGCAGCTCATTCAGCCAGTTGCAGGACTGAACGATTCAGATGCTCCTTTGTGTCCTCCGCCATCAGACTGTACAACAGCAGTTTGGCTAAGCTACATCCAGCTCTGGACTGACTTATTTTGCATCTGATCAACATGGAACTTTATGACACTTTATCTGCCAATCTGACACTTTATTGTATTCAACATTTTGTCTGCCATTTTAGTGACTTTATTTATCTTGATGTAGCAATTTTATTTTTTACTGTTTTTTATCTTTTATTTATCGATAGTTATTTTTTATTTTTTTCTCTTTTATCTTATTCTATTTAATGTCTTTTGTCTTGTGCTGCTGTGATACTTGAATTTCCCCTCTGGGTATCAATAATATATATCTTATCTTATCTTATCTTATCTTATCTTATCTTATCTTATCTTATCTTATCTTATCTTAAATCTGTCAGCACAACAAGCATAGGGAGGCATTGGTGCTCATGTTCATGCAGACTGGGATGTGGACATGACCGTGAGTCAACTGTCTTTACAAGTGTTGTGTTTGAATTGTAAACCTGTTCTGAACTTCTTAAAATTTGCCCCTGACTAATACACTCAGTAGGCTATTGTAATAAAAAATAAACTAAAACTGACTGAAACCAAACTAATTAAATAAAAACTAAAGAAAAATAGAAAACTGTGATAGCTCTGGTGCACAGGTCCTCAGAGGGTCCTCTGTTTGGGCTCCAGTTGTCCCATGACAAAATAAAATCCTCATTTTATTTAATAATGATGTCAGAATGAATAATTTAGAATAAAGAAACTTCCCAAGGGACTGTTGTTTATGTATCAGAGGAGTGGGGTGGGTGCCAATAGTGATGATTAATCTGTTGTTGTTATACATTTGTGACCCCTCATTATAATACATTTGTGATTTGTAATCCCTTCCGTGAAAGGCTTTAAATGTTAAACACCTGCAGGAAGTAAAGTTAGACTGACAACATTTTAACATCATGAAAGCAACACAGTAGAGTGGATCAGAATGAATGTAAGAGGACAAGTGGGGAGAAACTCTTGTCAACAAACTAAGAGTGTAAAGATTCACAAAATCCACGGTTTAGTTCGATACCATACAGTGGTGTCATGGGACGGTATGTTTTCGGTAAGGCAAAACAGTGGACATTCCAGAGAACTTTCCTTGATTTTTCAAATTCTTACATTTTATGTTATTTTTATTCGTGTATTTATGAAAACTAATACTATAAAGCATGATCTTTTTTATATATACTTTGAACAATGATGGAGCTGTACCTGACTGACCCATCTGGGGTGTCTTCTTAGCAGAAACAGAAAAAGTTCCTTATAAAATATAAAATGTAGTTTAAACAAATAAAAACAAAAGAAACAATTCTGTTTCTGAAATTCCACAGAAATTTCCTTGTTTTGAATATCTTTAAATGTATTAATACTAACATCATAATTTAAGGGTTTTTTGTGCAAAGCAGGAATTACAGTCTGGCTGAAATGGGCTAATGAAGGAACATTGTAACAGGGCTCAGTTTCTCAGCTCAGTTCATAAGGCCTGCGTTTTCTACTAGAGTCAGGTCTATCTGCATGGCACAGAGAATATTATATCAAATACAATTTAAGATGTATAATTTATTTTCCAAATGGATGAGTTAAAAACATCATTTGGTTATTAATAGTCAGAAACTTGTCTTTCTGTAAGTGTAATTCAACATCAGCAGATGCACTCACAACCAATTACCTTTTGATTATATTAATAATTTCCATTAGAACCCCGACAAAAAAATTACTATTTTCCACATTTTTTTTGTTGCATAATTTCCCTTTTTGTGAGCACACAATAAATGTCACAAATGCTGTGCTGTTGTTACATGACAATGCTTTTTTGTATGATGAATGCTCATTCAAAACATAAGCAACATTAATAAACCCTTAAAAAGCAAACAATATGTACAACAGTAAATATATCATTTAAAGTGAATGATTATGCCTTTTTTCACTGAGTCATTTAAAAAAAATTTGCATGCAAAACATTTGTTGATTTTTTTTATTATTACTTTTTTATCAAATTATGTAAGTGTTGGGAAAACCAAAGCTCCCAGAGAAAACCCTGTGGGGAATTGACTTGCAGCTCCTAAAATGGTGGTGTGTGTAAGACAGTGGCAGGCCTAAATGCTAGGCTAAGTTACTGTTCAAACTGTGAAAAAACAGAAAGCTGGAGGGACCCTGTCAAATAAAACTTGATTTTTGTACACTTAAAAACAGCTGCAGTTCTTGCGCAGGCTCTGGATGAAAAGGATGCAATTCTGGCTCAGGTCATGTTGAAGAGAGTTGACACTGTTGCTTGAGCCTGCAGGTAAACAGGTTCAGTTTTGAAGATGATCATCACCACAAAATTTTCACTTCTTGCTTGTGTCACCGACAAAAAAAGATGCAATTCTTGATTCTTTCATGGACAAAAAAGAACTGCAATTTTTCTGGGTGTGGAAAGGACTGTTGGTGACTCTGGGCCAAGTGTCTGTATATTTCCCCAGGCTTTCTCATACACTGGGGAAAAGGCACACAGAGATGGACACAAGCCAGCAAAGGGAGTGAGCTTAAACCTAAAGCTGCCAGAGGGAGTCCTGTGAATCACAGAGTTGCTGCATACAGAGGTGCTATCCTGCTCTAGTCCCCTTTCCTGTGTTTAATCACTTGGACAGTCCACACTAGAATTATTAACAGCATCCTGCTGCGGTGACCCAAGATTGCCTGGAGCTTCTGATGTCTGAGGCAACAGCTCCAAATTGTTAAAACATTAGCAGCTAGAATAAAACGATCTTCACACAAAAGAAAATGTAAAAATAATAATAATAAAATGTATGCAGCGCTGTGTTCAAAATACACTGCTCAGATATTATTACAGCTGTGAAACCTGTACCCATGCAAAAGCTAGTGTATTACAGAATACCATATGCTGTAG